CCAAAAAAAAGTTTATTCTGTCAAGGGATGGATATTTAATAAACAGAATTAATGGCTTGTCTCGAAAAAGAACGGCTTTAAGTTCTAGCAGAGCTTTGGTTTGAGGTGAAGTCTAGAATTTGTTTACAGAAATGCTATACAATACACATGTGTTTTAGCGCAAAAAAACACATGGATTTTTTTTTATCTCTCTCCGTCTCTCTTTCTCACCGGTGACCACCGGCGCCGGCGCCGGCGCCGGCGACCGGCAAGCTCGCCCCGGCGCCCGCGCCCAGCAAACAGGATTACAACCCAAAGTTGAGATTAGTCTGATGTCTTAAATATAAGACAGGGCACTTGATGATTCTGACGCTAGCACCTTTATAAGCTGGAGTTTCTCTGAATCTGTTGTCCCATCATTGTAGGTAGCAACAGGGACACCAAAAGCAACGAGCTGCACAGGTAAACAACATTAATTGGCAAGTGATAACCACAATCAAGTTCAGCGAAAAGGGAGGCCGCATGATAGGTACAAACAGCATACGAAGCACTTAAGGGCCTGTTCGGCAGGACTGAAAAATACTGTTCCGGCTGATTGTTGTGAGAGAAAAATACTGTTCTGGCAGGACGTGAATAGTGATTTCGTGAGAGATAAAACCAGCCAGCTGGCTGGCAACCAGCCAGCCGAACGGCCCCTAAGTGTAAGGATAAAAAAACAGCATTGGTAGAAGATCAGATGATATCTAGCCAACACCCAACAACTTACAATGCCAGTGAAGCCATGGGTTCATCAAGCCAGAACATATCCACAAATCCAAATTAACATTCTTGAGCACATCAGGTAGATTTCATTGACAAGCAGATGCAATGTATATAGGTCTAGTGTAGTGAGAAATTACAGTACAGTACCAACACTAAAATATAGAAAACAAATCATTTCATCAAACTCATCCTACAGAAAATGTGTAGACATGCCAAAACCTAAGGAAGTTGTGGCGTGTTCAAAGTTATAACCAGGAATTACAATGGCAAAAGAGAAATACCTATAATAAGCAGAGCCAGAAAAGCTGTTCTTCTTACACGCAGTTCCTTTTATTAGTTGGCAAGTGATAACCACAATCAAGTTCCTTTTATTTACATGAGCTCCTTAATTGCTTCAGGTAAAAATACAGTTTGATGCACTACAGCAAATACTAATTTTCTAGATATATCGCAATGAGTCGCCTTTAAAGATCCAGCGAGATCTTCTTTTATTAACACAGATTAGAATACTTTCCTTTCTCAACCAATACAGCAAAAAAATTGACATATGAAGAAGCTTAGACCTGAATCTAACCATCTATAAGGAGATAACAGTCAACAAGTTAAAATTAATAGTGAAACAGAGATGACATATTTACATACTTCCAGAAAATAGTGAAACAGAGATGACATATTTACATAAAGGGCGTACCCAGTGTAGAGAGCTCCCGCTCTGTGCGGGGTCCGGGGAAGAGTGTCAGTGGCAAGCCTTACCCTCGCCTGTGCAATGCGAGGAGACCACGACTCGAACCCGGGACCTTCCGGTCACAGGCGATAAGACTCTACCGCTTGCACCAAGCCCGCCCTTCAGATGACATATTTACATACTTCCAGAAAATAGGATGATCGAAAACAGGATCTGCACATTGCAACGCTAGCTAGCTATCTCTTGTTCATACAAACAGGTCTGCACATTGCAACGCTAGCAAGCAATCTCCTGTTAATACAAACAGGATCTGCACATCTACAGAATGTCAAAGTCAAAAAACAGGATATCCTGTTACAGAACTAGTAGAGTATAATTAGTTATGGCTTGGCTGCAGTCACCTGAATTCTTTCTTCATGGCATGTATGACAGACTAAAAAGACTAGTGGCATGGCCTCTTCAGAATGCATTCACAAGAAAGCAACAAAGACAGGCTTCTATACAGGCGCACTTGCTATATCGAATGATGTTATGGCCCTGTTTGGCACATGCCACAATAATCAGTACCAGACTTTTTTTCAGAGGTAGACACATAGCCCCCTTGCTAGGTTAAACTGAATGTATCTCAACAAAAGACAAGATTCACTTCATCTTCATGCAAGCCGAGCAGTGCAGAACAAGCATGCAACCTTCGATTAAGAGAAGTAGGAGGGCACTAGTCCCAGGACAACACATTTATGGCAATGCAAGATCACAGTGCCAACCCACATAATTGCAATATGTTCTGTATAAAAAGAACAAGAACCAAATCAAGAACCCTAAATGCCCTATCATTCAACTGAACTAGAGATTGGGGAAGAAGCTTACTGGTGAGAAGGCAGGCGTTTAAGGAGACCGACGTCGTAGAGAAGAGTTCAGCGTCCGTGACGCCACCCCCGTCGCCAGCGCGTCGTGCCGCCGCCGCCGCTTGCGTGCGCTCCGCCGCTCCCCTGATGCGCTTTCGCGTGCGCACGCGGGGATTTCTCCCACGCCACCTCTGGCCGGGCTCAGTTCCCGGGCCGGGGTGAGAGGATTTGGCCGGGATGGACCGGGCTAGGAACCCCGCGTGGACTAACCGAACACGAATTCTATCATGGGCCGGGATTAAATCCACGCCGGGCTGATCCACGGGGATTGGGCCCCGAATCCGGCCGGGAATATGCTAAACGAACAAGGCCTAAAAGGGTTCATAGCCTAGTGATTGTGGCTTATGACAAGCTCACAAGCACATCCAGCACCTTGGACTCATAAAACAAAACTTTATTGGCAACCCTTAAAATGGTGGCAGGACAACAGACTAAGGCCCTCCACATTGTGTCGCCTAAGTAGTGCCTAGAAAAGAGAGAATTGGAGCACGACAGTGTGCTTTGGCACGGCAGGTTCTCGTCAGAGCTTCGTGGGTCGTGGCTATGGCCATGGAGCTCCAACGATACCCTACTGCGCCCACGGCGATCTCCTCCTCGCCCCTCCCACCGCCGCCTCCTGCGTGCCACCATCAATGGCCATAGTTGTCCCTGCCCCTACCCTGCTTGGCCACCTCCCCCGCCGCCAACTCTTGTGACCTCACCACTGCCTCCGCCCTCCTGTCTTACCCTTCTCCACTGCCAGGCCAGAGTTCCTCCCCACGGGCCCCTTGTATTGTAACTTTATTCCAACACATGGTAATATTTGCGGTCACACAACTGTATATTTTTGCATAGATGGTGTTATTTGTGCTCGCGACATTTTAGTTTTTTGGTTCACACAGACAACATGAAGCATCAATAAAATAAAAATGCTGCTAACAATATTTCATGGAAAGAGAAGAGAATCTCCAGCGCCGGCATGTCCTTTCATTCATGAAAGCAACTGTAGCGTGAAGCCGGGAGGAGCCGAACAGGACTTAGGAGGCAGTGATTTCTGGTGAAGCCAGTTTTGGCTCCAGCTAGGAGCAGTTTGCACAGTACTCCCTCCGTCCCCCTTTTTCACCGTTGTTCTTATTTTCCAAAAAATCAAACATACTCAATTTTAACCAAATATATACAACAAAATATTAATATTTATTATACATAATTAGTGTCATTACATGGATCGTTGAATCTTTTTTCATAATAAACTTTTGACCGATACATATACCATAGGGACACTTAAAAAGGGGCGGAGGAAGTAGTGGTGAAGGCGGAGCTGAGATTAGGGAGCCGCGCCACCAAGCAGGCCGGTCCTTACATGACTGAGCAATTATCGGATGATTCTTCATACTGTGGTGATGGGTAATGATAAGGCTAAGGATACATATAAGCCTGAGCCATTGGCTGTGAGAGCTCGTTCAGGGCCCTACTACCCTTATGTATCCCCAGGATCCAGCTCCAAGACCTGGACGTGCCCTAACTTCCTGCGGAGGGCGCTGACCAATTCGATAAGGTCAACGTCGTTACCGACCACCTCCAGCCGATCCCTGGCATCGCCTGTGAGCGCCAACGATTCCACCCCTGCCCCAGATGCAATGTTTGTGACCCATTCTTCCAACACTAACAGATAGGAGACTAACGTGGTAGGGGTGTGCTATTACGCGTACCTCCACACCGGGCCGCCAGTGCCATGGCCCTAGCCCGGCTCTTATAGGGCCTGTTCGCTGGTTGGTGTTGGTGCTGGTTTGGGCTGGCTGGTGCTGGTTTTCTGTGAGAGGAAAACACTGTTGGCTGGCTGGTTTGGGCTGGCTGAAACCAACAAGCGAACAGGGCGATAGTCCTGAATGCTCACCTTGATCACGATCTTTTGCTACAAAAAAAACGGACAAGAAGAAGAATCAGGAAATCTAACGCGACCGCATATTGTCAAAATCAAGAGACACGTAAACTATGGTTTAGTAAAAAGGTTTAAAAGATACTACAGTTAAAATAATACCAATTACAACACTACATGGTTTGTTATACCCGTGACTTTCCAAACTAAAGTGCTTTGGAAAACTATAGTAGTTTTCCATGCCCCTATAAAAACTTTGCATAGAAACATAGCTTTGGTTTCCAACTCTACACCTATGATGCGATCTACAGATTTGTAGCTGAACATTTTAATTTAAAGCAACTTTGATGTCGAAAAAGTGGCTACAAAGTTCAGCTCTAAATACTATTTTTCCATTTTTTATGTCTAAAAAAATGCTATGAATATCAGATATTATCTATAACCACTTTGTGGTCATCAAAATGGCCTTAAGTTAAAAGTAGTCATCTACAAAGTTGTAGATTGTGTTGACTGCTACAATTTTCGTATAGTTATTTTCATCTTTGAAGGGCGGGCCTTGTGAAAACGGTAGAGTCTTACCGCCTGTGACCGGAAGGTCCTGGGTTCAAGTCGCGGTCTCCTCGCATTGCACAGGCGAGGGTAAGGCTTGCCACTGACACCCTTCTCCAGATCCCGCACAGAGCGGGAGCTCTCTGCACTGGGTACGCCCCTTTATTTTCATCTTAGATTATATGAAAGAGTTGCAATTTTTTCAAGAAATCACCTGTGGATGGACTATTTTTCGCCAAACCATATGGCAAAGATTAAATATATTTTACATCTTCACTATACTGGTATTAGAATTTAGAAATGAAGATGTATCTAGCATCTGCATAAGCACATACCAGTTTTATTACAAAGTTTTCAGCTATCCAGCTGATCAAAAGGGGAATCTTGATTGAGGATATGTCCGATTTTCATTGTTTCAATTGGGAAAAATACATTTTCATTACTTGAAATTATATCTAAAACTTCATCAATCCTTAAATTATTTTTGTAGTTGCCAGAGTAAATGATATTAAGAAAAATTCCCAACTCTTAATCCACCACCAACATGAAATTATTCTAACAAGTTTCTCGTCACAAATTTAGTGTCCCACACATTGATGTCCCTTAAAGTATTGACCAGCCTCACAGCCCAGTCCAATTTACCATCACACATCGGTGTTTCTTAGCACTGACAAACCTCACACAGCTCACCAAGCCTTAACAACCTTAGTTTCCAAACAGCCTAGGAGACTATAACTGGGATGTGGTACCACTGTTGGCTCAAATGGGGAGAGACCATTATGCACCCCAAGGGTTATCCCAAGACGAGAGAAACTCCCCTACTATTGTTGGATCCAATCTCCCTCCACAACCAATGTAGGATTATTCCAACATCATTCATACTGATTTGGGTATACAGTAAAAGTCTCAACAGTTCAAAGTTGGAACTCAATGGCTCACTGCCACATATATAATGAAGGAAATAATGTCCATAGTCTTTTCAGATTTTTAAGTTCAAAACGATATTGAATTACCTTTCTACTCTTTCTAGCCTACACCAGAATTTTTCAAACTTATATGCGAGCGCCAGGAATATCTCACCTCAAAATACTTAAGTAGGGGAGAACTCACCTTTAAACCTTGTGGTACCTTGCCAGCCTTTTCTTCCTCAACAGACAATGTCTACATCCACCAACCCAGACCAAAGAAAAATGAAAATTGAGATGTACTGAATGAAGTTTAGAAAAGTTAATGGTAGCATGCTATTATCCATGAGTAAGCTTACCTTTGCTACAGGCATCGCACTCGAGCTCTTTTCCACCTTATCCCTAATTTCTGTTTGAGCAAGGATATCCATTATGACCTCTGTATTTGGCCTCTTTGCTGGGTCAGTGTTCATGCAAGCTATGCTTATCCAAGCACACGCTCTTACTTGTTCCAAGAGTGTGTCTGTCACTGAATCATCCATGGTCAGTCTCTGCCTCCATATATCAAGTACCTATGAAACCGCAATGTTTAGGATTTGACTAAAGTATACACGAGCCACATGTACATCAATGCTAGAATAAATTAGATGTGCTTTAGCACGCAGTGTCTACTGTCTTCATCTAGGCAGGTTACATAAATCGTTCTTACATAATCAGTTGGCGAAGATTCTTTTTGTCCTGTTAGTATCTCTGTGATTATAACCCCAAGACTATATATGTCCGACTTGAATGAGATATTTCCAAGAAAGAATTCCGGTGCCAAATATCCTCTGCAAAAAAATCATATATTACATGTGAACAAGTTTCATACGTAAACAAAGAAAAATAACATGCATCAAGAGGTCAAGCTAGCTTACACTGATCCATCAAGATATGATTTAGTATCCAAGAATACTTCATATGGTGTCCGAGTAATCTTTGGTATCATGTTGTCATCCAGCAGTATATTGGCAGGTTTAAGATCTAAGTGTAATAAAACATTTGCGTGAATATAGCGTAAGCCCTCACAGATCCCCTTGATTATTTGATACCGCACTTTCCATCCACAAGATTTTTTATCTAAAAAGGAAACATATGATAGTGGGCAGAGATTTAGTTTTCAAATGTTTTAAAAAATCTTTTCTCGTACCAGAGACAATGAAATAAAAGAAGTAATTTGTCGTTTGAATTGCATTTCAATTTTCTAGATCCAGGGGTGTCCCATCAGTGAAGACCATCACAATTATCACCACTACATGCTACGACCAGTGTGATGGATCAACATTGATTTTACATAGGATTCAGAAAATTTCATCAGGATTGCGTGATGTGTCTCAATCAAAGAGTAGGCAGTATACTGGACCAAGTTCTAGAAAATAAAGTGACAGTCAATATCAATAATTAGGAAAGACTTATATCAATGACCATTAATTTCAGTTAACACCAAGGATAACGAGTCCATCTTTTTAGTGAGGTATTTGTGATAGTTTTACTACAAGAAACCCTGTCACAACAAGCAAGCTCTGTCGCTATCTTGTGGTTGTGTTTTGTTATGTATGCAGCACCAAGTTTGTTCCTGTAGGCTCTGGTGGTCTCAGTTGGGTGGCCTATTGTGTTTGTGGATGTAGAGATCGAATTTTGTGGGTTTGCTTTGTTGTGAGTGGTATTAGCAGGGATTCCTTTCACTTGATTATTTCTCCCTTCTTAATGAATGATATGCATCTCTCCTACGTGTCCGAGAAAAAAAAAGTTTATCTTATCATACCAGAAAGATAGTTGTCAAGCCTTCCTTTGCTTAAATATTCGAAACAGAGCAGTCTTTCGCATTTGTCAGCCACAATAATTGTTCCCTGCTTTTCAAACTGCCTTTCTTCTCTATAAGAACTGTAGCCTAAAAATCTTACAATATTTCGGTGTTGACCCATCATCATCATTTTATTAACCTCCTGATGAAACTTGCCGTCATCAGTATCCCTAGTGAAAAGCCTCTGCACAGCAACGCTCCGCAGGATGCCCTGTTTAATTTCACTAGGTGCTTTGTTAGCATGGGCTTGAGCCTTACATAAAGTTCAGCTTTGTTATGCAAAACAAAATTACCTTGTACATTTCTGTGCATAGATTAGTATCAACCTTGCGCTCACTAGAAAAATTTTCAGTGATGAACTGTAGAAGTCGATATGATAGATGACTCGGCTTCTTGCTTCCCTCAAGTATACACTCCAGGACATTAAGTTCCATATATATATCATCAATTCTGAGTTAACAACATATTTTTGCACAAGATCAGAAAAATATAAAAAGAAACTTGCTTCCAGAATAAAGCAAAGTTTCCTGAAGTAAATGGGACAAATGGATGAGGTTAACCAGTTTTTGGGGAAAAAAAACTTAAATGCCGCGATAAGTGTTATTTGGTATTCTGATTGGGGCTATAGCTGATAGCTCAGTTTTGGTATCGGCACCCTTAGTGCTAGATCGTTCAAAAACAAGTTTAGTCATCCTAGCTCTATTTGCACTCATTCCCTTTGTGGTTTAGTTCCCTGCTATTTGCACTCATTCCCTGCCTCCAATTCTTGTTCGGTTGAGCTGTCTTAGTCAAACTGACACGTTTGTTTCAGCTGGAGAATTCGTTTCTCAAAAATCAAAATACATGTTAACTTCCTGATTGTACGTATGGCAAATTTGTAGTTTGAGTACTGCCTCCAATCAAACTGAACTTGCAACAATTAAACTAGATGTCGGACTGCAACTTATGAAAAACTGACGACAACGAACACAGCAAAATAGAAACCTAGTCAAACATGCAAGGAATATTTATAAAAGTGCACCCAGATTACAAGTTGATGCCATACCAGGGAACGCTTGAAATTAAAACATATTTGGTTCTGGACATGACCTGAACAAAATCATCTGTAATCCTATGCAGCAAAACCATTTGCACATCAATATAGTTAAGCCAGCTAGACAATCTGAACTACTCTTGAGGTCTCTACACTAGCCCGTGCATACATAGTCAAATTTAATACATTGAAATTCTCACGACGATTACAACCCAAAGTTGAGATTAGTCTGATGTCTTAAATATAAGACAGGGCACTTGATGATTCTGACGCTAGCACCTTTGTAAGCTGGAGTTTCTCTGAATCTGTTGCCCCATCATTGTAGGTAGCAACAGGGACACCAAAAGCAACGAGCTGCACAGGTAAACAACATTAATTGGCAAGTGATAACCACAATCAAGTTTAGCGAAAAGGGAGGCCGGATGATAGGTACAAACAGCATTCGAAGCACTTAAGTGTAAGGATAAAAAACAGCATTGGTAGAAGATCAAATGATATCTACCCAACACCCAACAACTTACAATGCCAGTGAAGCCATGGGTTAATCAAGCCAGAACATATCCACAAATCCAAATTAACATTCTTGAGCACATCAGGTAGATTTCATTGACAAGCAGATGTAATGTATATAGGTCTAGTGTAGTGAGAAATTACATTACAGTACCAACACTAAAATATAGAAAACAAATCATTTCATCAAACTCATCCTACAGAAAATGTGTAGACATGCCAAAACCTAAGGAAGTTGTGGCGTGTTCAAAGTTATAACCAGGAATTACAATGGCAAAAGAGAAATACCTATAATAAGCAGAGCCAGAAAAGCTGTTCTTCTTACACGCAGTTCCTTTTATTAGTTGGCAAGTGATAACCACAATCAAGTTCCTTTTATTTACATGAGCTCCTTAATTGCTTCAGGTAAAAATACAATTTGATGCACTACAGCAAATAGTAATTTTCTAGATATATCGCAATGAGTCGCCTTTAAAGATCCAGCGAGATCTTCTTTTATTAACACAGATTAGAATACTTTCCTTTCTAAACCAATACAGCAAAAAAATTGACATATAAAGAAGCTTAGACCTGAATCTAACCATCTATAAGGAGATAACAGTCAACAAGTTAAAATTAATAGTGAAACAGAGATGACATATTTACATACTTCCAGAAAATAGTGAAACAGAGATGACATATTTACATAAATGGCGTACCCAGTGCAGAGAGCTTCCGCTCTGTGCGGGGACTGGGGAAGGGTATCAGTGGTAAGCCTTACCCTCGCATGTGCAATGCGAGGAGACCACGACTCGAACCCGGGACCTTCCGGTCACAGGCGGTAAGACTCTACCGCATGCACCAGGCCTGCCCTTCAGATGACATATTTACATACTTCCAGAAAATAGGATGATCGAAAACAGGATCTGCACATTGCAACGCTAGCTAGCTATCTCTTGTTAATACAAACAGGTCTGCACATTGCAACGCTAGCTAGCTATCTCTTGTTAATACAAACAGGTCTGCACATTGCAACGCTGGCAAGCAATCTCCTGTTAATACAAACAGGATCTGCACATCTACAGAATGTCAAAGTCAAAAAACAGGATATCCTGTTACAGAACTAGTAGAGTATATTAGTTATGGCTTGGCTGCAGTCACCTGAATTCTTTCTTCATGGCATGTATGACAGACTAAAAAGACTAGTGGCATGGCCTCTTCAGAATGCATTCACAAGAAAGCAACAAAGACAGGCTTCTATACAGGCGCACTTGCTATATCGAATGATGTTATGGCCCTGTTTGGCACATGCCACAATAATAAGTACCAGACTTTTTTTCAGAGGTAGACACATAGCCCCCTTGCTAGGTTAAACTGAATGTATCTCAACAAAAGACAAGATTCACTTCATCTTCATGCAAGCCGAGCAGTGCAGAACAAGCATGCAACCTTCGATTAAGAGAAGTAGGAGGGCACTAGTCCCAGGACAACACATTTATGGCAATGCAAGATCACAGTGCCAACCCACATAATTGCAATATGTTCTGTATAAAAAGAACAAGAACCAAATCAAGAACCCTAAATGCCCTATCATTCAACTGAACTAGAGATTGGGGAAGAAGCTTACTGGTGAGAAGGCAGGCGTTTAAGGAGACCGACGTCGTAGAGAAGAGTTCAGCGTCCGTGACGCCACCCCCGTCGCCAGCGCGTCGTGCCGCCGCCGCCGCTTGCGTGCGCTCCGCCGCTCCCCTGATGCGCTTTCGCGTGCGCACGCGGGGATTTCTCCCACGCCACCTCTGGCCGGGCTCAGTTCCCGGGCCGGGGTGAGAGGATTTGGCCGGGATGGACCGGGCTAGGAACCCCGCGTGGACTAACCGAACACGAATTCTATCATGGGCCGGGATTAAATCCACGCCGGGCTGATCCACGGGGATTGGGCCCCGAATCCGGCCGGGAATATGCTAAACGAACAAGGCCTAAAAGGGCTCATAGCCTAGTGATTGTGGCTTATGACAAGCTCACAAGCACCTCCAGCACCTTGGACTCATAAAACAAAACTTTATTGGCAACCCTTAAAATGGTGGCAGGACAACAGACTAAGGCCCTCCACATTGTGTCGCCTAAGTAGTGCCTAGAAAAGAGAGAATTGGAGCACAACAGTGTGCTTCGGCACGGCAGGTTCTTGTCAGAGCTTCGTGGGTTGTGGCTATTGCCATGGAGGTCCAACGATACCCTACTGCGCCCGCGGCGATCTCCTCCTCGCCCCTCCCACCGCCACCTCCTGCGTGCCACCATCAATGGCCATAGTTGTCCCTGCCCCTACCCTGCCTGGCCACCTCCCCCGCCACCAACTCTGGTGACCTCACCACTGCCTCCGCCCTCCCGTCTTACCCTTCCCCACTGCCAGGCCAGAGTTCCTCCCCCCGGGCCCCTTCCCCCCGGGCCCCTTGTATTGTAACTTTATTCCAACACATGGTAATATTTGCGGTCACACAACTGTATATTTTTGCACAGATGGTGTTATTTGTGCTCGCGACATTTTAGTTTTTGCGTTCACACAGACAACACGAAGCATCAATAAAATAAAATGCTGCTAACAATATTTCATGGAAAGAGAAGAGAATCTCCAGCGCCGACATGTTCTTTCATTCATGAAAGCAACTGTAGCGTGAAGCCGGGAGGAGCCGAACAGGACTTGGAGGCAGTGATTTCTGGTGAAGCCAGTTTTGGCTCCAGCTAGGAGAAGTTTGCACAGTATTCCCTCCGTCCCCCTTTTTCACCGTTGTTCTTATTTTCCGAAAAATCAAACATACTCAATTTTAACCAAATATATACAACAAAATATTAATATTTATTGTACATAATTAGTGTCATTAGATGAATCGCTGAATCTTTTTTCATAATAAACTTTTGACCGGTACATATACCATAGCGACACTTAAAAATGGTAGAGGAAGTAGTGGTGAAGGCGGGGCTGAGATGAGGGAGCCGCGCCACCAAGCAGGCTGGCCCTTACATGACTGAGCAATTATCGGATGATTCTTCATACTGTGGTGATGGATAATGATAAGGATAAAGATACATATAAGCCTGAGCCATTGGCTGCGACAGCTCGTTCAGGGCCCTACTACCCTTCTAATTTGTCTCCACCTTCAAGAGCTGGGTGTGCCCTAACTTCCTGCGGAGGACGCTGACCAATGTGATCGGGTCAATGTCGTTACCGACCACCACCAGCAGGTCCTTGGCATCGCCTGAGATCGCCAACGATTCCACCCCTGCCCCAGATGCAATGTTTGTGACCCATTCTTCCAACACTAACAGATAGGAGACTAACGTGGTAGGGGAGTGTTATTATGCGTACCATCACACCGGGCTGCCAGTGTCATGACCTTAGACCGGCTCTTATCGTCCAGCATGCTCACCTTCATCACGATCTTTTGCTGCAAAAAAAACGGACAAGAAGAAGAATCAGGAAATCTAACGCGACCGCATATTGTCAAAATCAAGAGACACGTAAACTATGGTTTAGTAAAAAGGTTTAAAAGACACTAAAGTTTAAATAATACTAATTACAATACTACATGGTTTGTTATACCCGTGACTTTCCAAACTAAAGTGCTTTGGAAAACTATAGTAGTTTTCCATGCCCCTATAAAAACTTTGCATAGAAACATAGCTTTGGTTTCCACCTCTACACCTATGATGCGATCTACAGATTTGTAGCTGAACATTTTAATTTAAAGCAACTTTGATGTCGAAAAAGTGGCTACAAAGTTCAGCTCTAAATACTGTTTCCCATTTTTTTATGTCTAAAAAAATGCTATGAATATCAGATATTATCTATAACCACTTTGTGGTCATCAAAATGGCCTTAAGTTAAAAGTAGTCATCTACAAAGTTGTAGATTGTGTTGACTGCTACAATTTTCGTATAGTTATTTTCATCTAAGATTATATGAAAGAGTTGCAACTTTTTCAAGAAATCACCTGTGGATGGACTATTTTTCGCCAAACCATATGGCAAAGATTAAATGTATTTTACATCTTCACTATACTGGTATTAGAATTTAGAAATGAAGATGTATCTAGCATCTGCATAAGCACAGACCAGTTTCATTACAAAGTTTTCAGCTATCCAGCTGATCAAAAGGGGAATCTTGACTGAGGATATGTCCGATTTTCATTGTTTCAATTGGGAAAAATACATTTTCATTACTTGATATTATATCTAAAACTTCATCAATCCTTAAATTATTTTTGTAGTTGCCAGAGTAAATGATATTAAGAAAAATTCCCAACTCTTAATCCACCACCAACATGAAATTATTCTAACAAGTTTCTCGTCACAAATTTAGTGTCCCACACATTGATGTCCCTTAAAGTATTGACCAGCCTCACAGCCCAGTCCAATTTACCATCACACATCGGTGTTTCTTAGCACTGACAAACCTCACACAGCTCACCAAGCCTTAACAACCTTAGTTTCCAAACAGCCTAGGAGACTATAGCTGGGATGTGGTACCACTGTTGGCTCAAATGGGGAGAGACCATTATGCACCCCAAGGGTTATCCCAAGACGAGAGAAACTCCCCTACTATTGTTGGATCCAATCTCCCTCCACAACCAATGTAGGATTATTCCAACATCATTCATACTGATTTGGGTATACTGTAAAAGTCTCAACAGTTCAAAGCTGGAACTCAATGGCTCATTGCCACATATATAATGAAGGAAATAATATGTCCATAGTCTTTTCAGATTTTTTAGTTCAAAACGATATTGAATTACCTTTCTACTCTTTCTAGCCTACACCAGAATTTTTCAAACTTATATGCGAGCGCTAGGAATCTCTCACCTCAAAATACTTAAGTAGGGGAGAACTCACCTTTAAACCTTGTGGTACCTTGCCAGCCTTTTCTTCCTCAACAGACAATGTCTACATCCACCAACCCAGACCAAAGAAAAATGAAAATTGAGATGTACTGAATGAAGTTTAGAAAAGTTAATGGTAGCATGCTATTATCCATGAGTAAGCTTACCTTTGCTACAGGCATCGCACTCGAGCTCTTTTCCACCTTATCCCTAATTTCTGTTTGAGCAAGGATATCCATTATGACCTCTGTATTTGGCCTCTTTGCTGGGTCAGTGTTCATGCAAGCTATGCTTATCCAAGCACACGCTCTTACTTGTTCCAAGAGTGTGTCTGTCACTGAATCATCCATGGTCAGTCTCTGCCTCCATATATCAAGTACCTATGAAACCGCAATGTTTAGGATTTGACTAAAGTATACACGAGCCACATGTACATCAATGCTAGAATAAATTAGATGTGCTTTAGCACGCAGTGTCTACTGTCTTCATCTAGGCAGGTTACATAAATCGTTCTTACATAATCAGTTGGCGAAGATTCTTTTTGTCCTGTTAGTATCTCTGTGATTATAACCCCAAGACTATATATGTCCGACTTGAATGAGATATTTCCAAGAAAGAATTCCGGTGCCAAATATCCTCTGCAAAAAAATCATATATTACATGTGAACAAGTTTCATACGTAAACAAAGAAAAATAACATGCATCAAGAGGTCAAGCTAGCTTACACTGATCCATCAAGATATGATTTAGTATCCAAGAATACTTCATATGGTGTCCGAGTAATCTTTGGTATCATGTTGTCATCCAGCAGTATATTGGCAGGTTTAAGATCTAAGTGTAATAAAACATTTGCGTGAATATAGCGTAAGCCCTCACAGATCCCCTTGATTATTTGATACCGCACTTTCCATTCAAGTCCACAAGATGTATCTAAAAAGGAAACATATGATAGTGGGCAGAGATTTAGTTTTCAAATGTTTTAAAAAATCTTTTCTCGTACCAGAGACAATAAAATAAAAGAAGTAATTTGTCATTTGAATTGCATTTCAATTTTCTAGATCCAGGGGTGTCCCATCAGTGAAGACCATCACAATTATCACCACTACATGCTACGACCAGTGTGATGGATCAACATTGATTTTACATAGGATTCAGAAAATTTCATCAGGATTGCGTGATGTGTCTCAATCAAAGAGTAGGCAGTATACTGGACCAAATTCTAGAAAATAAAGTGACAGTCAATATCAATAATTAGGAAAGACTTATATCAATGACCATTAATTTCAGTTAACACCAAGGATAACTAGTCCATCTTTTTATTGAGGTATTTGTGATAGTTTTACTACAAGAAACCCTGTCACAACAAGCAAGCTCTGTCGCTATCTTGTGGTTGTGTTTTGTTATGTATGCAGCACCAAGTTTGTTCCTGTAGGCTCTGGTGGTCTCAGTTGGGTGGCCTATTGTGTTTGTGAATGTAGAGATCGAATTTTGTGGGTTTGCTTTGTTGTGAGTGGTATTAGCAGGGATTCCTTTCACTTGACTATTTCTCCCTTCTTAATGAATGATATGCATCTCTCCTACGTGTCCGAGAAAAAAAAAAGTTTATCTTATCATACCAGAAAGATAGTTGTCAAGCCTTCCTTTGCTTAAATATTCGAAACAGAGCAGTCTTTCGCATTTGTCAGCCACAATAGTTGTTCCCTGCTCTTCAAACTGATTTTCTTCTCTATAAGAACTGTAGCCTAAAAATCTTACAATATTTCGGTGTTGAGCCATCATCATCATTTTATTAACCTCCTGATGAAACTCGCCGTCATCAGTATCCCCAGTGAAAAGCCTCTGCACAGCAACACTCCGCAGGATGCCCTGTTTAATTTCACTAGGTGCTTTGTTAGCATGGGCTTGAGCCTTACACATAAAGTTCAGCTTTGCTATGCAAAACAAAATTACCTTGTACATCTCTGTGCATAGATTAGTATCAACCTTGCGCTCACTAGAAAAATTTTCAGTGATAAACTGTAGAAGTCGATATGATAGATGACTCGGCTTCTTGCTTCCCTCAAGTATACACTCCAGGACATTAAGTTCCATATATATATCATCAATTCTGAGTTAACAACATATTTTTGCACGAGATCAGAAAAATATAAAAAGAAACTTGCTTCCAGAATAAAACAAAGTTTCCTGAAGTAAATGGGATAAATGGATGAGGTTAACCAGTTTTTGGGGAAAAAAAACTTAAATGCCGCGATAAGTGTTATTTGGTATTCTGATTGGGCCTATAGCTCAGTATTGGTATCGGCACCCTTAGTGCTAGATCGTTCAAAAACAAGTTTAGTCATCCGAGCTCTATTTTTTCACACATTGGTAATTTATTTGTGTATTTTTAAAAGCAACGTCATACTGGACCAGTAAATAACTCATTACCATTACAAAATAAGTTACAGCGGTTGAGTTTCAACTCTAAATAGCCAATGATGTATAGTTGGGAAATCTTGGTTGATGTTGCTTCTTTGTTAAATTGCCACTTGGAAACAACTGTTAAACTTAGTCAGAATGCTAATACACTGTGAGAAGGACCTGTTTGGTGGAGCTAATCTTGCTTCTAATTCTATACTGAAAGTTTTTCTAGGGCAAAACATTCCATGGATGAAAATGATTCTTTTGGGTAAATTCCGTGGAGAAAATGATCCTGTGTGAGAAGTTAATGGAGAGAAGCTATTTTTCAGCTCCTAGAACTTCAGTTCATTTTAGAGAATTATACTACACAGAATCTGGCAGAGTTCCTCTTAGAATCAACCAGGGAGCTACTCTAGAAGCACTGCCACACATATCGTAATCCCATAGGGATACTAGGCCCCTATATGTAGGGCTGGACGAAAAGCTCACAACTCGGTAGCTCGCTCGACTCGGCTCGTTAGTGGCCCGACTCAGGTCTTAACGAGCCAGCTCGAGCTAGTTCGCAAGCCAAACGAGCCAGGCCTGTTACCATAGATGGCTGGGCCAGCAGGCTGCAGGCAGCAGCAGCCGGAAGCCCCACAGGCCGCATCCCACTCCCAGCCCAATTAGCCAGCCCACCATACAAAGGTACAAACCCTAACTCCCCCACTGTCCCACACCGATCCCAGCTGCCACGGCATCGGTTCGGTGCGTCTGTGCGTGTGCGTCGGCTATATGACCTCTCTTCTCTCTGCCCCTGCTTGCCAACAAAGGTACACATCCAACAGAGAGACCATATTAAGGCAGGCAGTTTTCCAACATCCATCTACTTTCCTTCGATATAGCAGATGTTTTTTTTTCATATTAAAAATATAATAATTGTAGAAACAAAAACTGCTTTTGGTGAATCCAAAATTTTGATATATGAAACACAGAGTGCTTCAGATCCTTCGAAGATCACATAGATCAAAGACGGTAGAACTAGAATGTGTGTACCTGGAATTTTCTCGAAGAGTTTGCATGGACAATGCCTGGAATCTTTGTACAACCTGCAACTCAGAATATAAAACAAAATTCCTATGGTATACCTCATATTAAATTAAAATAAAGGAAGGGTAAATTAAAACAAACATATTATGTAAATTCTATTAGCAATATACAGTGTCAACACTTATATGGCTGAGATGGTAACTTTTAGGCAGTATAGCTTGCCAATAGTTTGGCGTTTGACAAAGGTGTCAAGAACAGTATTTTGGTTGCAAATTATTCATGCTTTTACTAATTTTTAGAATACGCATGAGAGTTGTGTATCTTTCCAACATTACATTTGTTTGGACCTCAGTTTGATCTCAAAGCTAATGTAACTGTGCTATAATTACTGCCTCTCTATCTTTTTCCCCCCTCGAACACGCAGGAGAGCTATGTATCATTATATTAAGAAGAAAAAGGGGATGAGCCCTTACGACCCACCCGCCCACACAGCAGGTCAATGGATTGACATTTAAAAGTATTTAATTTTATGATTTTGTTGCTAAAAATGTTGTAGGATAGAAGGAATTAAGAGTTAGATGTTAGTTCTGGACCGTGCCAAATCAGGCCACATTTTTTTGAGATCAAAGGTTACATGATTGCATGATGGCTTGAATAATAATACCTGATATAATGAAGATTCAGGGTCATTTCTGGGCTCTCGAATAACTGTAGGATCCTTTAGAATCATTGTCTCTGTCTCATTCAGCTTCTGAATTATCTCATCTATAGTAGGCCTGTTATGTGGATTACTGTCGATACAAATTTGCGCAAGTTCAATGCATATCTTCTTTTGTGAGCATTCTACATCTATGTTTTCCTGCCACTGCAAAATTCAAACATATAGTAATCAGGAGAGAACATATATATGATGTTAAAACATTAAGGAGAAGTCAATACATGATAGGTACTTCAAGTTAAATATCGATATCTTCTTTTGTTTTAAGGAAATGACATATTTTTTTCTCGAATACGCAAGAGCAAGAAATGAGATATTGATGTGGATAGTAACTCGCTATTAAGGTCTAAGATAGGTTGCTGTGCATGGACTGCTAAAATTTGATGTCAAAAAGGTACTACAAAGATTTAACAAATTATACTTACATTTTCAATATTACCACCATTACGCCCTGTTAATATGTTTATCATTATAATGCCCAAACTGAATATATCAGCCTTGGCTGATATTTGCTTCTTATCTATGACTTCTGGTGCAAGATAGCCCCTGAATACAATCAGATGGTTTGAAGGATCACAATATAAAGCTAACTTCACACATTTGACTTCAAAGTCTCAAAGATATGACTTACAGTGTTCCAAAAATGTTTTTAGTAACCATCACAGATTGTTCTCCATCGTCAATGCACCTTGACAGACCAAAATCTGTTATTTTTGGCTCCATGTGAGCACCCAGCAGCACATTTGATGGTTTGAGATCCAAATGATAAATGCGCTTTTGATGAAGATGTTGCAAACCCTGGAAAATTCCTGTAATTATTTGATAACGTACATTCCATTCATATCCATGAGTTTTTCCTGCATAAGTGAATAAAAAGGCAAAAAAATGCTTAATGCTAGTAACAGTACATATGTAATGTCAAATTACAACAAAAAGGGCGTACTCAGTGCAGAGAGCTCCCGCTCTGTGCGGGGTCTGGGGAACGGTGTCAGTGGCAAGCCTTACCCTCGCCTGTGCAATGCGAGGAGACCGCGACTCGAACCTGGGACCTTCCGGTCAGGCGGTAAGACTCTACCGCTTACACCAGGCCCGCCCTTCCATAATAAAAAAAATTCAAATCCCAAGTATCTAAGATGATTTGAGTACATACTCAAAGATTTAAAAAAATATTCCAAATGGATAGTGTGCATATTTGGGGCATGATAAAACTTTGCTATTTGACCACATTTCCCATGCCGGTCAGGTGAATGGATAACAGAAATCACGAGGTTTTCAAGTACAGATGGGGATGAATATCGTAGCAAATTTTATACCTTCAAGATAATATTTAAGGCTTCCATTAGGTACATACTCAAAGCAGAGTAACCTTTGTTGTTCCTCAACAATCCTAAGTTTTCCTTCTTCTTCCATTACTTCACATTGCATATTTACACAATAAGCTAGAAATCTTGCAATATTTTTGTGCTTTGCCTTCTTTAAACAGGCAACTTCGCCCAAAAATAGCTTATAATCGAAATCCTTCCATGGGTAAAGCTTTTTCACGGCAACCATCCCATTTCGAAGACCTCCCTGTTTCATGACATGAAATCATGCCTGATTCAAGCAATTGTTTGAAACTACAATTTGCAGAGCAATCAAGAACTAAGCATACCAGGTAAACAACTCCAAACCCACCATCACCAATCACTTGAGCAAAGTTTTTTGTAATATGTCTTATAGCTGCATATGATATCTTGATCGGCTCTGCGCATTCATCAATAAGTATGCGCTCGAGGTCTTCAACTTCACTTGTCTGATCATTCATTTCTGTACATCACAATGTCCTGTCAAATAAGACTGGTTAAAATACATTTCTTTCCAAGGATACATTCCCTCTTAAAGAATATATGATTATTCCAACTAGGGAGATCTGGTCGCCTGGGTGCAACTGAGTTGAATGTGCCAGGCAGCTTACTAGGACCTGAACCAAATAAATCACAGGCAAACTGCAGGCAATCCGTAGTCCACCGCCCAGGCAAAATGTACCCATGAGCATAACATCATGGATCGGCACCAGGAATTGCAGGAAGCCAATTCAATTCGACCTCTACTCTGAATGCCAAAGTTGGTAGGAAGAAAGAGAGAATAGAAAACGGGGGATGCGCTCTCATCTTACGGCATCAGATCGGCGAAATCGTGGAATTGGTGCCGAAGAGGATTGAGGGGATTGATGGGGAAGAAAGAAACCTTCAGCCAAATAAATCGAGCACCAGGCCAACACGACCGTAGCAGTAAAGATTCAGCCGAGGGAAAATGCTTTGGTGGCCAGATCTGCAAGCTCGAGTTCCATTGCTGCGGTCGTGCTGCGGTCGGCTAGTCGCCCATTTCTAGCGTGGTCGACTGAACAGTCAACACCGTCTACACCCCGTACGGCCGTACCAACGACCGCGCGTGGACTGGACTGCGCCACGCGGACGCACGTGCTCCTTTCATTTTTCTTTCTATTTCTATATATAATATAATCAGGCTACCATAGCACACAAAAACAATAAAACAGATATAATCATTGTAATAACAAAATATGTAGGGGAAAACCCCCCTCTCGGTGCCATCGTAAAACCTCCGTAAAAATATGACATAGACTCATCCAAAATTTTGAAACGATGCATCTATATATATACCTATATACATATATCTACCCATCTTTGTATGTATAGAAACATACACACGATACTAAACAGGGATAATTTCTTCCTCTACTTGTTTCGTTTCGTCAGTCGTTTCACTCCCACATTCACATGAGTGACCGAGTCCACATGCCACACTGGGTTTTTTTTGACTGCTTCATCAACTCTGCTTCATAAATTTCACCGTGGAGCAGCTTCATAAAAAATGTGGAGTTCCTAGAACCTCCTTTTAGGTGCTCTCACAACTCCACCTTTTTTCTTGGAGCAGAGCATATGGTGCTGGCACCTGTTTGGCTGAAAAACGTAAAGCGGAGCTAAAAAACGTGAAACGAAGCAGTCCCAAACTAGCCCTATATATGGTACAATACCCTTCCTATTGGACTCCAATATTATACGTTGTTGTCCATGCTAATCACGTAGGGCTCGATGAGGGCATGTCCATGTAGGTAACGATGCCACTGGATAACCAATGTACATACTCAAACCCGTACCCATGGTGTTTGGGGAGGGTATGGATTATCCATTTGATTGTGGGTATAGGTAGGATAATAGAGGTATTATCCATTTAATCTATATGCTCCGACTGCGGTGCTGAGCGGAGCTCATCGCCTCTGCCCCTAGCAGACAAACGACCTTTGATCTATTTCAAAATTTGGCTGAAGACCCGATATTTTTCGCGTTCGGGACTAGAGAAACCTTTAGTCCCGGTTGGTAGCTTCAACCGGGACTAAAGGTCCCTGCCCAACAGCTACTGTGCTAGGCTTTTGCTGGAGGGGACCTTTAGTCCCAGTTAGATCTACCAATCGAGACTAAAGGTTCACTTTTACTCCCGGCTTGAGGCTCCGTCCGAGACTAGAAAGGGACCTTTAGTCCCGGTTTCTGTCTACAACTGGGACTAAAGGTCCCCTCCTATATACCCCTTGTTCCTCCCCGAGCCCGAACCACTTCGAGGTCAGTGTTCTTGCTTCATCGCCGGCCTCTCTTCTTCCTCATCACCAGTAATCACAAGATTTCTTCTATTTCTCCATCGATTCTTCGGTTCTAAAGGTTACCAACTTTATACTCTCATGTTTCATCAGTAGCTTATCTCATTTTGTGGACTAAATATATGTGGGTTTTTTTACGGTAGAATTTTTTTATTTGTAAGTCATTTAAGCTCAAAATCACTTTAAAGTTTACATATTTTGATGAAGGAAGGTTAAAGTAGTTATTCAAAACTAGTATTGAGTTTTCATTTCTAGCATGCATAGCACACTTTATGCTTTAGAGATATAGAGAATTTTAGAGTTTTTTAATTTTATTTGTTTATAAAATGAGAAATTTATATTATATTAAAAATAAGTATAGAGAGTAGATGACAACTGCTTCTGGGTCCTCGGCTTCTCATCGGGTTACAAAGTGACTGACGCCGGACCTCCCTCTCATTGCATGCGGCAAGTGTGAGGAGAAGATTATGATGGAGTATCGGGTAAGGAAAGAGTGTCCCAACAAGGGCCGCCACCTCCAAAGAGGTCTCCAACGCCTCCAAGGAGGTCTCCAACGGCTGCCCCACCTCCCTTGATAACTAAGAAGAAGCCAGCTCCTAAAAGGTCCGCCCCGCAAACAAAGTCGTTGGCCCACCAGCCGGCAAAGAAGAAAGCCTCATCTAATCCAGTTATTCCCCAAAAACTGTCTTACGAGAAAAGTAAAAAAGAATTAAAAGCTGCAGTATAAAAAGATGTTGACAGTTTCTTCGAAAAAGTAAAAAAAGCAACGAGAAGAGAGGGAGAACCCGAAGAAATCGTACTTCTACCTACCTCCAGATCTTCTAAGAAAGAAGGTGGACTAGAAAAAGCGGGAATCTTAAAAGACCCTGCCAAAATCGGACTACGACCGCTCTCTCACCAAGTCATTTGAGGCGGCGCAGAAAAAGACTAGACTAGGGAAAGGTGTTGCACAACTCGGATAACAATCGCAACAATCAGTCCCCCTCTTGTCGTTCGTAATGAATATGGTTCGAACTTAGACTTAGACGTCAATTTTGAGGAGCTGGCTCGGTTTTACGAGGAAACTGGTTTGGACTTTGCTCAAGTGCTCGTTGAAAAACCATCTGCTCCGAAAGTGGATCCTTGGAAGAAATTTGAACATGGAAAGAGTCTATACAACCCTAAGGCCTTAGGTGAACTGGGTACGCAAATGTACCTGCTAAACAAGTGGTACATGACGGCGTGTGAACGGGGAGAGACCTTTGTTACTGTCAGAGTTAGAAACCAACATTACTTCCGTGGCGATGACGTTATATATATCGAGTTTGTAGAATTACACCAACTATGCCACCTGGACTCTCTCGACAAAAGTCTCATTAGCTGCTATTGTCTGTAAGTGTGATTATTTTCTACTATTAAAGTATATATATATATATAAAGCTACATGTATATATATAAATTATATATTCTCACATTATATTTTTATATATGCAGATATGAGATGACAGAACTCAGAAAGAGAAATGATAATGATGTTGGTTTCGTTGATCCAAATGTCGTATTTAAACACCCTAACCCCCGCCTCAATGGAAAGCTGAACTCGAGAAAAATCTCATAAGATTCTTAGTAAACCAACAAAACAAGGACATACTCTTTCCCTATAACTTCAAGTGAGTGTTAAATAATTAATGTCGATCATATGGACTTTGGTTCAATTATTTGCTTACTAGCTAAGCTATCTCCCATATATATGTTGACTCTAGTTAATATCGATCATATTTGTGTATAAAAACATATGCAACAATCACTGAATATTGATGGCCAATAGTCGGTTGAGCATCTTAGACTCGTTAAGAAAAAAGCAAACAGAGTACCAAGACATGATAGATATTATCTAAGGATAATTTGGTCTCTCTAGCAACTATATATACCCCGATCTCTTAACTGCAACAATTATTAAAGGTCAAATTAATTTTTTATTTTATTGGACGCAGTGTTTGGAAAAGTTTCATTGAGAATCACCACATGAAACATTGCAAAGCGCCACTGGATGTAATCGCACACAAAGTAAGTACTAGCTACATTTATATATATAATTCAATTAACACCATGCATGCTTTTAATTCACCGGATCTTTTTTCTCGTAAAAGTGGGTTCTGAGGCAAGAACAGGGGAACAACTACTGCGGATACTATATTTGCGAGTTCATCATGACGTACACAAAAAGAACTCCTGAAGAGATCCTCAAAGTATGTTATATAAATATATTCATATATTCACAATTTCTTTTGTTGCTCATATATATAAGTAATCATGTGACCAACACATATATATATATATATATTAATACTTTTCCTTTAACTTTTATTGAAGACTCTATGGTTGAAGGAAAAAGTCATACGACGTGACCAACTGAAAGCAATTCAAGGGACCATAGCAGGATTTCTTAATGACCAGGTCCTCGACCCCGCCGGCGAGTTCTACAATGATGTCAACGAAACATGGAAGCCAAACTAGATGGAGTAAATTTGTTATCCCAAGGATATGATAGAATATACAATGCAAGCTTTATTTGTAATATATATATATACATATTATATGTACATAAAATAACGTACAATATATGCATATGCATGTAATATATACGTTAGTTTCATACTTTAGTTTGTACAAAATGTTCGAACATTATAAACGTGTAAAATACGTATATTATTAACAGCATAGAATGCGTATTCGAAAATCAAAACGAATCATCAATTGAAAATAGAAACAAAAAAAAAGAAAAAAAAGGAAACCTTTAGTCCCGGTTGGTAATACCAACCGGGATTAAAGGGCCGCCCCACGTGGCCAGGCCGGGAGGTCTCTTTAGTCCCGGTTGGTCTTTACCAACCGGGACTAAAGGTGGGGCGAGAAATCAGGACTAAAGGAGGGTCCCTTTAGTCTCGGATTCGTGCTCCCGATTGGAAAACCAGGACTGAAGGGGTTTCTCAACCGGGAGTAAAGCCTGTTTGTGTACTAGTGTGCCTGGAAGCTAGCGGAAGGTGAGAGAGGGACGTGTGACTGTAGAGGTCGTCGGAGGAGGCGCATACACCAAGCACGGCCTGCTGTCCACATGCTCGGCCATGGGCGGCGGCAGCATCGTCATGCAGAAGCTCCCTCGTCATACTCATGGC